AGGTGAGTAGGAGAGAGTGTTTCCTTCCTCAGAGTCCTCAAGAACAGAAGAGAAAAAATAAGCAGAAATAACTATTAATAAATGTTCCACCACTTGCTAGCCATGTAACTTTGGAGAAGACACTCTCCTCTATTTAATGTCTCAGCCTCTTCAGCTGTAAAAACAAGGTAATATAATTACTGTGAAGATTAAACAGGATAATATGTAAATGTAAGGAACATGCAATCTGGTATTCTGCAATTACATCTGTTCAGATTCCACATTCTTAAAAAACAAGGCAAATGACAATTATAGGTTTAAAAGTTTATTTTATAAACATGTCACAATTACATGATATAAACATAAGTTTCATAAAATATTACTATATATAGTAATAAAGCATAAGCTATTACAGAAAAATTGATACAAAGATGTACATTAAGTACTTATGAAGGTAATTAAAGCCTTCCTAGTCTATGAAAATAAAAAGGAAAACCATTATTAATGCTATCACAAAAGCAGTACTCTTACAAGTAAAATAAATCTCCCCTATCCCTTGATAATAGTAACTTAGAGCATCTGCAACTATCATTTAATCAAAATTTGATGTTCACTGACTCAACATTTATCTTTTAAATGCAAATTTAAAATACCCTCAGATGGCAAAAAGTTTACTCTGTGCTAGGTACAAAATGAAACTTCATGATATAATATAGTTCCTGCTCTCTAAAAGCTCAAAGGCAAGTCAATTAATGATTGACTGCAAAACAGACTGGTTAAGCATGTGGGGGGAAAAAAATGATCAAAGAGAACACCTGGGTCTCATCCACAGAGCACTGTACAAGGAGCCAGAAGCCCCCAGGCTCACATCCCAGCTCAGGGAAGTCACCAAACCTTGTTTTCATTGAGTTCATCTGTAAAAATACAAACAAAAACAGACAGGACAATATGATTACTGTTTGCCATACACTGTTGTTGGGAAAAGCATTCTTTCAATAATGTCCACGTCATACCACTTTGTAGTAGGTACTGTGTTAAAGGCTAAGACAGAAAAGGACAAGGCACATCTTGATACAGAACTCACAGTCCAGGTAGGTGCCAGAACGACCTATATACACACACAAGGGCAGATATTTCACACTCCCGTGGAGTCCCCTGTCCCTGTGAATGAATAATCTTCAGGCATGGTAAAAGAGTAAAAAAGAAAAATTATCCTAACCTGCATTTCAAAAAGGTGAAGCAAAGTTTTGTGGGTTTGTTGTTGTTGGGGGTTCTTGTCAATTAATATTTTTGAAATTGGATTAGTGATTCAGGCTCAGTAGAAATGCTGATGCCAGGCCCCACCCAAAGCTTACTGCTTTAGAACCCGTAGGGGCCCAGCAGTTCCCCAGTCAAGAAGCCTTTATTTTAAAAGTTGACAGAACAATGTTAAAAGCACTGTTAATGCAAATATGGATACTTCTTAATAATTGACAGTTAAAAAAAAAAAGTATAGCTAGTAAAATACAACTTGAATATATTTTGTGATTTTAAAATCCATCAAGTGTTACAAAGCCACTTAAAGAGTGCTTACCAAAAAGATTTCTAGCAAAAACACAATGGAGCAAAATATAGCACAATGCCAGTGCTGACCTCAGCTGTAAAGGCTTATTACCTAGTAATGTTATTTGCAATCTGTGTTTACATGTGCATGTTTTCAGGGGAAGAAAAGCTGCTCAAGTGGGTCAAGATTATGAACCCTTGCTACTTTTAATACTAAATAACTAACCTTTAACTGAAAATTTACCGAGTACTATTATAAATAGGGCAAACAGATGCAGCACAGTTTATAGCATAACCCTTAATGTCAAACTACATCAGAGCCCTGACTTCATTTACTGCTCTGGTAGCTTTTGAGCATTGGACATATTGTTTAGTACTCATTTCAAAATCTAGTACAACTGTAATGTGTCTGCAATAAAAACCCCAAAATTCATTGATGTGTGAATTTTTACACTAGATCTAGAAACGATATTTAACATTAAAAACTTAATTTTTGAAAAACAATCCACATACCCAGCTGGTGTGACTCAGTGGTTGACCATTGACCTATGATCCAGGAGATGGAGGTTCGATTCCCAGTCAGGGCACATGACCAGGTTTCAGACTAGATCCCTGGTAGGAGGATTGCAGGAGGCAGCCGATCAATGACTGACTCTCACCAATGATACTTCTCTCTTCCTCTCTCCAAAATCAATAAAAACATTTAAAAAAAGAAAGAGAAAGAATCCACAATTGCAAAGCAGTTCATGTCTACAAGGATGGCCCATTAAAATACTGTTACCTTAGGCACATCACTTGACTTTCTGGTTCTTATCCATCTCTCCTGTAAAATCTTCCTGCCAGAAGAGGATTTGACCGTATCATCTCTTGAGGCCCCTTCCAACTTCAAGAATGTCATCATGATATTACAAAATTTAACTGTTTTCTCCACTTCATTGCAGGGTGACAACAAGGAAGAAAGGAAAATGGATGTGTTTAAAGCATCTCCTATCAAATGGAAATATTAAAAGATTAAGGACAAAATACTCAAAGTTGGGGTCACCCTGACAAAAGCCCAAATAGCTGTTTAAGATTAACCTATCTATCTTGGAGACAGCACTCATTCATAATAAACAAGAAAAGTGCAGGAAAGAAATCAATTAGCAGAGGATCTTAGGCCTACAGAGAATGACAATCAAGGAGAGTCCATCCTAAACACTTCAGGGCATCTAGGATAAATAAGTGGTCTGCACCCTCCAAAGCAAGTCAAAACTGTAACTTAAAAAGAGAAATATCTAAGCCTACAACTCAAGATTCATAGGATCAAGAGAAGCAATTTTCCTTGTATATTTAAGCTATTTTGCAAAGTTATTTTATATACTTTTTTTTTCTTAATCCTCACCCGAGGATATGTTTAATGATTTTACTATTTTATTTTAGAGAGAGGGAGAGGGAAACATCGATTGACTGCCTCCCGCCCCGCGCCCCGACAGGGGATCGAACCCGAAACCTTTTAGATGCACGGGAGGACGCTCTAACCAATATACTCCTGTATCACTGTCTACTAGTTCCAAATCGCGAGGGTAAGAGCACGGACTCAAAATTTGGTTCATCCGTTCACTAAGAGATCATAAATAATAGGTTTGGAAGGATTTCAACACTTCACCTGATAACTAGCAAGAGCTGGCGCATCCTCGGACCTTTAAAACCTAAACAAAAAACCATCTGTACGGAGTAGGGCCCGAACAGTTGAAACCTACACAATAAACCACCCCCTTCCCACCTACAGGCGCTCTGCAGCGTCACCAAATCTTCAATCAACAAACACAGTCTCCAGCTCGGCAGGAGGCCGTGGTGAAGGATGTCACAGCGAGAACAGTCCCCGCCTAGCCTGTAGGCTCGCGCTCCCAAGGGAGGGGCGGGCTTGCACCAGAATAGTGGTGCCCCGCGTTCCCAGGTTTTTAAAATGACCAACCACCCTTTCTTTACCTGAGCACTGTGACGGCCGCGCCACTTAAATTCCATTTTCGTCTGACCGCAGTGTCGAGTCCCGGCTCGAGGCCTCGGGACCGACGGAGAACACCAAGGCACCTGGCCTACCGCTGCCGCCGCCCGGCCCGCGAGGGGCCGGAGGAAGCGGAGCCCGCCGCGGCGTTCCGGTGCGCTCGCGTGG